GAATACCTTCTGACAGCAACAACCGCGTCGAATCGGCGGCGTTCTTGAGGAAGCGAGGCGATCCGTATTCCCGATCGATTACAACTCTCGTTCTGACGGCGGCGCACTTTCTAGGCCGCGTAGTCGATTCCTGGCCGGCGGAAACACTTCTTCTACGAAGGCATGTCACCAGCTAGCATCATTCAATCATCAAAGCAACGGAGGCGCGTGGCGTCGATAATGAGTTACTGCCTCACGGGGGAACAGGCAGCGTTTCTGATTGTTTCAAAAGGCGTTCCGCGAAGGCCACGCGTCGACGATAGCTGCCCTCCGCTGAGAGTCGATCGAAACTCAGCGCTGCGTGTTCGTCCGTGTCCACACATCCCGTTCCTCAGTGACTCTAGATCGCCTCGTTCCTCCCGGTCGCCGTTACAGATAGCGAGTGTTCGGTTACCGTTCAAGAACGTACTCCTGACACGGCCGTGTTGATGTAAGTGGCAGTTGAGAATGAGCAGAAGGATAGTACGTCGAAGATAAGCCGCGGTTGCCTTTGTAGCAAAGTTTTAGCACTCTGTTGACCCTCAAAATGACCGTAAGATGTCAAATAACTCGGTTCAAAGACGGCAGATATTCCACTTGTACTTCACGTTTTGAAAATTTTGGATATATGAATATTGGACGATCGCATTGTTGAAGTTGGTGATTGCTGAAATGCAGATTTCGGTTCTCTTGTTCGATAGATTCTTTATTTTCTCGTGGATGTGAATGTTCGAATAAATCGTTAGTGTTCTTAACGCATCGATCGGGACGCTAATCTCTGTCCTTACCCTGGAGTGACGAAGTCTCAGTCTAAAAATAGCCTTCTATGATTCGGACAGGCACTTGATATCATTAGTAATTATTCATGATTCTTGTCGCTGCAGGCTAGTCGTCGCTGTGTTTCGTACTTCATAATTTATTCTTCTCCGTTTTCAAGTATTTTCTCTGCGTTGTCTTACACTTTATTTTTATTCGCCTCCTCACTTAAGCGCTGTAACATCGTTTGCCTGTCAGTGTTTGAATTAACCCCTGGTTCTCTTTTTTTTTATTTTTATAATTCATGTTTCATTCTGTATTCTTTTGCACTTTCACAGAAGTACTCTTAGGCATGCTTCCATTAGTTATTGAATGCATTATGTGTTTCTCTAATCTCGCGTTACGAATTCTCTGTCCTTTTTCTCGATCTCTTATCTGGAACAAATTTTTCCTAAGTTGATATGTTAACTTTTAATGTCTCGTCTCGTTTCGTTAACCCAGAACCCATAACATTGGCTAAACAATGCTTCTGTATTATTGTGACAGAATAAATACCGCATGGCAGATCAACTGGCTTAGTAGTGATTCTGTATCCCTTTTGTCCGTCGTCCAACCGTACTGATTGCTGCTCATAAAGGCTGAGAACCAACGCGCTGCTGCAGGCGATCTCAGCAATGGCTGAGAACCTCCACAGCTTTGGCCATAGCGAAGGCCCGTAAAATACGTGCCGAAATGTCTGGTATGGATGGATTTATCATCCTGGCCCCGCTCTTATTGTGTTGTCTGTACTTAAACTATTTTTGAGCAGTTTTTCACCATGTTTACCAGTGCACGACCAAAATGCTGCCTTTTTTAGATTTTTTGGGTTTCTGTTTGTCATCTTCCCCTTTTCCGAAACAGCAACTTC